AACCTAGTACAGTGTGTTTCTGCGATATTGATACCATCCAGTTGCAAGTTATCATAGCTGAATTTAAAGTTTACAATTTTCGTCTTATCCACATTGAAACAGAGAAAGTTTGAGTCACACCATTGTTTAACCTTGGATAAATCTGAAGAGACCTTCTGTTTCAAAATTTCAGTGTTTTTTCCATGCCATGATAAAGTGGTATCGTCTGCAAAAATCGTGAAGGATCCGTTGATATGTATTGTAGTGAGATCGTTAATATATAGTAAAAACAAAATAGGCCCTGAAACAGATCCCTGAGGTACTCCGCAATGTGTAGCCTTAATGTCAGAATATACTGGGCGTTCCATTTAAAAATCGAAAGTTGGTATCACTTCCGGCGAAACCGGAAGTGAAAAAGAAATCATTTGGAGATCAAAAAGTGCCACTTATTATGTATATGGGATATCCCAAATTTCAATCAATTACCTCTGAAACTAACGAAGATACAGGGGGTCTACCATGATCCTGTTACACCCGGTATATATATTGACAACACGATAGAACTGTTTTTCTGAATCTGATAAATGAAACACGTTCTAAGTATTCAGCACAGACTGAGTTTATCAATAATTGGCGCGTAAAATGTAGCTGAGTTGTACAGGTTATCATATACGCTGTTGCCAATGTAGATATATAAGTATAGCCACGAAAATAGTATATACATACATACTGATCATTCCGAATCATCAACAAACATATGCTTAATTGAACCTAAACTTTCGGTCGATATCAGCTGGTATTTCTGCCGTTGGTAAATGACATAGCTTGATTGAACCATCGTTTACAGTTTCCCTAATAAAATCGTGGTAAAATGTTTTCACCTTTTGTACAGGATTGACTGACAGTTCTTGAGCACTCTGGCTATCGTTGTATGAAGTTATACAATACAATTGACCTGTTGATCCATTCATTACATTTCTCAAATATATAGCCGAACAGCTTCTGACAATGCCATATATTCGGCTTCTGTACTAGATAATGCTACAGGATTTTGTTTTATGCTTGCTCATGAAATTGCAGCAATAGACAGCTTGTAAACAAAACCAGTATAATATTTCCAATCAACTGAATTACCTGCCCAATCAGCATCAACAAATCCTTGCAAGTTACAAGAATTTTTCTTAAATTCCAGTCCAGTCCAACATCTTATGTACCCTGTACCCTCAGATAATTCAACCTATCTTGTCTGGTCTGGTTAACATAGCCAAATACATTAGGCTTCTAAATTAGTTCTTGATAAGGAAAGTTATTTGCTGTATCAAAGATTAGATTCAGACATTAAATCTTGTTCCATAGGCGTACTGACTGACTTGCATTCCTAAGCACTGTTTCAACCTAAATCTTGCCACTTGAACCTAGAACTCAATTCTGACTCAAATATTCAGTTTCTCTTTCATCATTAAGAAAAACAAAAATATATATATTTATTTAAAAATCATCCACCTTCTTATTCCTGGTTCGAGATGGCTGTGTCAAGCCATATATGGCCTTTTTTAATTCACATACTTTAACATTTTCTTTGATGAAACATTCAGGCTATTTCATGTAGACATTTTCTTCTAAATATCCATACAAAAAGTTAGTGGTTACATGACATATATCTAAATCTAATTTTACAGATAGTGCAAACAATAATTTCAGAACAACGAACTACAAAATAGCCACAATGTTCAAAGTGGAATGAAAGATCAAATAAATACAACAAAAGCTCAAACTCATTTCCACAAATGTTCATAAAATGAACAACAATGGTAGATGACTTGAGAAAAACAACTGATTTCTTGGCAAATGCCACGCAGAACATTGTGAATTGAATTCTTCCGAAATCTATGCATCGATACATTTCAAGGAATACTAATGCAAATGTTTCTTTTCCTAGTGCCGATTGATTTCGTTCGATTTAGACAGGTAAACGCAATGACACCTACATACTGGTTTCGAGCATTTTTGGCTCTCATCAGTGTAGGGTAGTCCCCAGCCAGCAGTCCAAAGACCGCCGGCTAAGGGTAACCTGGCCCAACAAATTCGAATCGGCAATATTTATAGTCTCAGAGGAATCTCCCGTGGGCACAGGTATGCCACACGGGTTTAACGCCATCTAGACTTCATAGACGGAAAGAAATCACAAAACTCAAATATCCAAAAATGGGAGTGGCTGTTTGCCCGACTGGCGAAATTTCTACTACGAAATAGCCACAATGATCAAAGTGGAATGAAAAGTTGAATAAATACAAAGCTCAAAGTCATTTCTACAAATGTTTATATAATGAACAACTATGGTAGATGACGGAAGAAAAACAAATACTTTTCTGGCTGATGCCACGCAGAACATTGAATTACATTCTCCCAAAATCTATGCATAGATACGTATAACCGAAAACTAATGCAAGTGTTTCTTTCCCTAATGCCGATCGATTTTTATTCAGCCTGGTTGAGGTTTTTTGGCTCTCATCAGTGCTGGGTAGTCTCCATGCAGCAGTCTGAAGACCGCCGGCTAAGCGTAACAAATTCCAATCGGAATATTTATAGTCTCAAAGGAAACTTCCGTGGGTACTACAGTGACTCAATTCAAGACAGTGGCGACAATAGTTGTCAACAATTTGATTGGCTGTCGCTGCAGACGCCATTAGGAGGCACATTTTCTGTTTGTTTACATTGGGTTTGAATGGTTTTTGCGTTGATCCAGTAATCCATTCTTCTTGTTCACTTCTGCTTTTCAAAATTTTTGCATTTTCTTCATCAGACAAATCGTATAATAATCCACTAGTAGTGCTTTCTTCAAAAAATCGAGCGGTCTGTACCCATATTTGTTCAAATTTGTCTTGATACAACTTTATAATACAAAATGCATAGGTGTGTTCAATTGGCTAAAAGAGGTTTTTTGGTGAAAAAATTACAAAAATACCAGAATTATATATTCTGGGCATGCAGAAGAGCGTTTGGAAGCACGTGGGGACTCAGTCCCAAGATTATCTACTGGATCTACACGACTCTCATACGTCCAATGATTACGTACGGAGCCATCGTATGGTGGCAAGGTACAGCATCCGGCAAATCAAAAACTCAACTAGACAGAGTGCAACGACTTGCCTGCCTTGCCATAACGAGTGCAATGAAGACGGCACCCACAAGGGCACTGGAGACACTTATAGGTCTGCCACCCCTGTACCTCTTCATTGAACACGAGGCATGCAAAGCCATCGCCCGTCTGCGGATCTCCAACCAATGGAGGAGCGCGGGAACGTATGGACACTCTAGACTATGGAATCGGACGGTGAAGGAATGCCCCCTCCTAGAGATGCCGGGGGACAGTTTCACTCCTGTCATTAGATTCAGCAAAAGGCCTCAGTCAATTATCCCGAAAAGGGAGGACTGGGAGCAGTTCGGGCACCGCCTGATCCCTACCACTGGAATCATTTGGTACACAGATGGCTCCAGGATGGAGGAATCGGCAGGAGCTGGGGTATATGGGCAATCTCCGAAAGCGGAACTCAGTTACCCCCTGGGGAACTTTGCTACAGTGTTTCAGGTAGAGGTTTTTGCCATTCTTGCCTGTGTTAGAGAAAATATCAACAGAGGCTACCATGGCCAGCTGATCACGATATGCTCCGACAGCCAGGCGGCGATCAAGGCCCTCACATCATACAGGGTGTGTGTGTGTTTAAAAGTGTTTTTAACCGCCAGCTTAGTTGCAAAGCAACCCTCGAAAGTCAGAGACTTGTGTGAGTTAAGAAGACGGGGACCTTAGCTTTTTAAGTGTCATCCGAAGCACTACTCGGCTGGTAACCGTGGACAGTCCAAAGGATTGATATCTAGGTACCAAGAATGTTGGGTTGGCCACCTATCTCCTCCCGCCCAACGAAACTACCGAAAATTAATTCAGTGCTCGCGCCGGGGATCGAACCCGGACCGCCTGGGCAACAGCCAGCGACTCTACGCTCACGGCCACCAGCCCAGTTCGCTGTTGGTGTCGGAGTGTATTGATGAGCTTCAAAGGCTATCCGCAGCCAATAAGGTGAAACTCCTTTGGGTCCCAGGACACAAGGGAATTCCCGGTAATGAAAGGAGCAAATAGCTCAGCCATTGGACCAGAACCAATCTTAGGAGTTTCCAGATCCTGGAGCGTCTCAACCATGATGAAAAGCTTGGAAACGAAATTCCAGGAGGTATGGAGAGAGACTCCAGGCATGAGACAATCGAAACTCCATATCGAAGGCCCTTCTATCAGAAGAACCAAAACGTTGCTCACATTGAGCAGAAAAGAAATAAGAATAGTGGTAGGGCTCCTCACGGGTCACTGCCATCTAAACAGGCACCTCAACATTATGGGTATCACTGATGATGCTGAATGTTGGTGGTGCCTGGAGGACGAGGAGTCAGCTACTCACATCCTCACGGAATGCCCAGCAGTTGCAACAATACGGGAAGCACATCTCGGGAACATCGTTTTGGAACCAGAGAGTGTGAGAAGGGTTTCGTTGAGAAGGCTGGTCTCTTTCGCCCGCGAAATTGGCTACCTTCAAGACTGAACCAATTCCCAGCAGAGGTGGGTGCATAACGGGCCCGAACTAGGAGGCCTACATGCTGAAGGATCCGTCCGCCCACATAGTGTAACCTATCTATCTATCTAGGAAGGAATGGGCAATCGAAACAAAGACAAATGGGTCCCTACAGATTCATCAGTTCTTTGTGAGGTATGTATTGTAACTGTTGTATATACTCTCACTGAGTATATAGTCAGTCGGGTTTTGTTTGAGCACTCACTGACACATGTCAATGTTAGATGTTGTAATCAACGCAGTTTTCAATAAAGATATATTTCGTGAGTGCAATCCTTAATTGCGTGAACACAACAGTAATTAGTCATTCTTTTGAAAATATAGTGATTTACCTACACAGGTAGGTGTCAAATAATCAAGAGGACAAGAACTCCTACAGCCATTCATCTACAGGGGTACACAATGAACCCGAATTCACTGATTTGTACATCTTGCAATAAAAATGGTCACGTTGCAAATATTTGTCAAGGATCACGTCAGAAATTCAAGTCGAAACCAGAAAAATACAAGCAAGTCAAATGCAATCAAAAGAGCGTCATTCATTGCACACAGGTGTCTCAGGAATCAAGCGATGGAGCTCTTCAAGAGGCCACATCACACCAGAAAGCAACACACTTTTTGGGCCAACAAGCTTGTGGTTTCGCATATCCATCCAGTTCCTTCAACCTGTTGATTTCGAATCACGGTCAACGGAAGTCATCAAGTAAGATACCTGAAGCCATCATGATTTCAGTTCAAGTGGATGGTTACATGATACTGATGGAGGTAGATTCACGAGCAGGAGTCAACGTCATACATCTGGAGTGCTACAAGAAGCTCTGGGCTACATCTGACGGCCTCTCACCAGTCCACGACCTGAATTTAGAGGACTACAACGACAACCCAGTGAAGATCATCGGAGCCAAGCTCGTCAAAGTATGTTACAATGAACACGAAGGAGTGGTTCCTCTTCTCGTTGTTCATGGGTGCAAAGGTCACAACCTCCTAGGTCGGAACTGGTTTCCTACTCTGGGTATTACGGTGAGTGCTACACACGTTATCAACAAGGACAGCAACTTCAGAGCGTCCAGCGTTGAACAACGACGAATCCTTGTGAAAATTCAAAGGACCACCCATTCGCCTAGATATTTCATCTTCACAGCCACCGAGGTATTTCAAAGCTCGTCCAGTTCCCTATGCATTGGAAGCTAGAGTTGTCGAGGAGATCCGAAGACTTCAGGGCCTTGGCGTTTTGCGACCGACTTCGTTCTCCCATTGGGCTACACCAGTGGTTGTGGTTGCGAAGCGCGATGGATCCACTCGAATGTGTGGTGCCGGAGTCGCTGCAGCCAATCACAATGATGTCGTTGCGGGACCAAGGCAGGAAAGAAAGGATGAGATTTCGGGGGGGGGGGAGGATCGAGGAGAAAACCTCCAAGATCTTCGAAGCCACCTTCACGTTCAACTTATGATTGATTATTGTTATCCTTCTGTAAAAAAAAACGGAACTGACAAATGTTGTATATACTCTCACTCAGTATATAGTCAGTCGGGTTATGTTTGAGCACTCACTGACACATGTCCATGTTAGATGTTGTAATCAACGCAGTTTTCAACAATGATATATTTCGTGAGTGCAATCCTCAATTGCTTGAACACAACAGTAACTATACATTCTTTTGAAAATATAGTGATTTACCTACATAGGTAGGTATTGTGCCAAATACTACAAATGAGAGCGTGTTTTTTTCATACTCATTTTGAACCTAGTATATTTGGAAAAAATCAGAACAACTATATTTTTCTTTCACAAAGCTTCATACCAAACGATAAGCTCTTCTCAAGAGAAAATTACTGATGAAATCCGACTCAGAAATTGTGACGAGTGTACCACAAGATCACATTGAAGGTCTCAGTCAAGAATAGGAAATCCAAACAAAAACAAATGGGTCCCTATACAGATTCATCAGTTGTATGTGAGGTGTTGTAACTAGTCATTCTATCGGAAATATAGTGATTAACATACGTTGGCAAACCAACAAAGCTTGTGGCTCCGACGAAATTCCACCGATTGTTCTCAGGAAATGTGCTCCCGAACTAACACCTGTTCTCTGCAAGTTGTTCAACTACTCTTACAAATTGGGGATATTCCCGTCCAACTGGAAAATTGCAAGATCACAACTAGTTCCTATAAAAGGCAAAAAGATCCTAACTAGCAACTACAGACCGATCGCACTGTTATCTATTTTTTCAAAGATCATGGAGATAGTTATCAACATCGAGCTCATGAAATACCTGGAATATTCAGGTATTATCAACGATAGGCAATATGGCTTCCGTCATCAGAGATCAACTGGTGACCTGCTCGCTTACGTCTCACATATATGGCAGCAATCTTTCGAAAAAGTGAAACCTTAGCCGTAGCACTTGATACCTCTGGCATTCGATCGAGTCTGGCACCACGGACTCCTCGCCAAGCTTCCATCTAATGGTTTGCCTTCCCAGCTATGTTTTCTGCTAGCTAGTTTTCTCTCTAACAGGTCTCTCCATGTAGTGGTAGACGGAGTTTCATCTGACTCTATTATCATAAATGCTGGTGTTCCGCAAGGATGAATTCTAGCAACAACACTATTTCTACTCCATATCGACGATTTGTTGGAAGCAACTTCATGTTCATGATAGTACCCTCCATACCACTGAATGGGGATCCAATAACTTGGTTGATTTCAATGCAAACAAAACACACGCCTTTTCTCTAGAAAAGCCCATCTCACTGTGCCCAACATAATCTTATCAGGAGTAACCATACCTTTGAAGACATCCATTTCGATGCTTGGTATTACTATCAGCAATAACCTTTCTTGGGAAAATCACGTGGGGACAATTGCTAAAAGTGCATCCCAAAAACTTGGTTTTCTGTTACGGGCCTGGAGCTATTTCACTTCCAGTCAGCTGCTTATGATCTATAAGGCACAGATCCGACCTGTCCTGGAATACTGTTCCCATATTTGGAGTGCAGCACCCAAACATACCCTGAAACTGTTGGATTCTGTCCAAAAAAGGGCAAATTGTCTCGTGGGTAATGCCTCGGTCACAAACTCACTCACTTCTCTAGAACACCGTAGAAAAGTTGTCGATCTGGCTCTATTTTATAGATATTTCCATGGACGATGCTCTTCTGAAATATCAACAATTGTTCCTCCCTTGGCAGTCCCCGCGAGATTAACCCGTCGAGTTGAGACTTCGCACCCCTTCTTTCGTGGTCACTTTGGAGACCTGCAGAACATCTCTTTCCAAAGACCCGTTCATCCAACGAACAGCGAGGCTCTGGAACACATTGCCAAGGGAGTTGTTCACTGAGGCATATAACCTCCAGAAATTCAAGAAGAACGCCAATTCCTACCTTATTTCCCTTGGTTCTCACGATGTTCTCTGAACATTACAGGATATCCCTTTTCGTGGGAACCAGAACATAATAAAAATGAGATACTCGAATACCTAAGAGCTTCTTTTTCAGACACATTTCGATCCTAGTTTCGAACCTAGTATGTACTCACTATACTATAGTAATGAAATCCGGACCATCTTTAACAGAACAATGATGAAAGTATCCATTGATACTATGTACAAAAAAAAGTATATATGTACTAACTTGATGATGGTGATATCAACCACAAAAATCACTGAAATATATCTGTTTAGTAAACTACTAAAAGATATTCAGAAATAAGAATGATCCGATGGTAAATTGACAGTAGAAATGTAAATAAAAACCCACTGAGGAGGCAAGTAATTTAAATTTTCGCGCACTAATTTGCCTTCTAATGGCGGATGGGCGGAAACACCACAAAACTTGAATACCCAAAATTGTATTCGTATATACGTATCTATGCATAGATTTCGGGAGGTTGTAATTCAGTGTTCTGAGTGGCATTAGCCTGGAAAGTATTTGTTTTTCTTCAGTCATCTAGCATTGTTGTTTATTTTTTGAACATTTGTGGAAAAGACAGAGCTTTTTTGTATCTATTCAACCTTTCAATCTACCTTGATCATCGTGGCTATGTCATGGTTGGAATTACGTCAGTCGGCCAATCAGCCACTCAGCCACTTACATTTTTGGGTATTTATGTTTTGTGGAGTGTTTCTCTCCTTCTATATAGTCTAGATGACGTTAAACCCGTGTGGCACACCTGTGCCTACGGGATATTTCTCTGAGACCATAAATTTTGCTTGGGATTTGTTGGGCCAGGTGACGCTTAGCCGGCGGTCTTCGGAATGCTTGCTGGAGATTACCCTGCACTAGTGAGAGCCAAAAAAGCTCGAAAGCGGTCTGTAGGTGTCATTGCGCTAACCTGGCTAAATCGAAATCAATCGGCATTAGGGAAAGAAACACTTGCATTAGTATTCGTTTATACGTATCGATGCATAGATTTTGGGGGAATGTAATTCAATGTTCTGCGTGGCATTAGCCAGGAAAGTAGTTGTTTTTTCTCCCGTCATCTACCATTGTTGTTTATGTTATTAACTTTTGGGGAAATGACTTTCCAGCTTTTTTGTATTTATTTAACAATCTTAGAGTTGAATGTTGAATTACGAGAGAAAACGTTTCATCAAATCTATCCTAGATTTTTGTGTGAAACCTTTGCTACTAACCTAGTCCTTATTTTGTTTTCACTGTCACTTTTTTTCTTGAACACCCACTTGCATTCCAGAACCGTGCTGTTTTCTGGCATTTTCAATAATTCATTTTGCTCAAATGACTACAACTCTTCCCTAAACCTCCCTCCACTTCTGGTGATCTGGCCTAGACATGGTCTCATAACCGTAGATCTATCTTTATGTAACTTGGTGAGATCAACACAAATGTATGTTACATAATCATCAAATCTTCTGACTAGGTATTCTTTCAGATCTTTTCACTACTTCTGTAAGTGTCTCTTCTAATGGATAATAATACTCCGGCTATTCACTAACGTCCTCGTCAACGTCCTCATATATTGTATCAGAAGAATCGAAACCATTACTTAAGCTGTATGAATTATGATTTGTAGCACTGGCCTCATCTTCTATATTTTTAATGATCCCTCTGCTTGTCACAACTGAGTTATCGTTTGTGTTAAATAGTCTAACCTTTTGTGTTTTCACCATATCCGACTAATATTATTTTTACATATTTCTTATTCCATTTTATCGTTCTCTCTTTGGGAATGTGAACCAAACTTCAAATGGCCATTTATCCTATAAGCCGGATGAAACTGATCTGTTCTTCAGGTAAACAGCTGTGTGCATAGCCTCTGCCCAGAACATATTATCAAGATCAGCATCAAATAGCGCAAGCACCTTGCTTTTTCTACTAAGGACCTATTTTTCAGATAGACCGTTCTTTGAGGATTGTATGGATTGGATCTTTGGTGTACAATTCCATGATTTTTGCTGATTTTTTTCAGCTCATCATTACAAAACTCTCACATTATCTGTCTTTAAGGCCTTCATTTTCTTATTTTTCTGTTTTCAACCATAATTTTAAATTCTTTAAAGTACTCTTGACACTTCATCTTTCGTCTTCAAGAAGTACAAAATACCATGCGACTGAAGTCGTCTTCGAATATTGAAAAATATTTCGAACCACCAATGGATCGAGCTTTCATTGTTCCACAAATATCTGCATGTATAACAAGATCAGATCAGATGCTTTTGTACCCTCGTGCGTGTGAGGTAATTTGAATTTTTTTCCTTTACAACAAACTACACAATTTTTGAAATTACCGGTTATTTCACCTTTACATGTGATCCCATCTACAATGCCATTCTTCAACTGCTTCAAATCTTTGTAGTTTTTATGGCCAAATCTATCTATTTGTTGTTCCATTGTTGACATTTAATCCATTGACATTTTGATTAATTCTGCTGTAGCCACTAGTACTTTTTGACTATTGATGATGTCACATCCCTCTGACTCGAATTCCACTATATGGCCATTTTATATCAATTGACTCACTGATAATGAGTTAGTGGTAAGCTCTGGCACACACAAGACATTTTTAATACTAATTTTATGAGTTTCGTTTTTCACAACTGTTAAAATGTTTACATTTCCTGAGCATGTAACTGGAAGTTTCACTCTATTCGCCACGATTATTTCTTGGGAATCCTGCCTTTCTGTTACATTTTCTAGCCAACTTTCATTAATTGTCAAGTGTCAACTTGCATCC